CATCCATAATTTTAAGAGGTAAATAGACTATTTCTATGAAGGAATTTTTATTTTTGTGAAATTTTCTTTTAAAAAAATTTTATTTATTTATTTATTGTAAAAGATAATCAATTTGATTAAAGTGGGTTGTTTTTTTAGTTTTTTTTTCTTTCAAGGAAAATTACATTTAAGGTAAACATTTTCTATATGACTTGTTATCATCAGATTTGGCCTAACTTTCAGCTAACCATATTTTTTTGTTGCTGTTGTTGTTGTTATTTCATTTCCATAAATGACCTTGAAATATATTCCCCCCACCCACTCACCCTTTGTTCATTATGAAGATATATAATAAGAAAAATTAATGACCTTTTGAAGTAATGAAAACATAACTTATATTATCTAGTTTTGTACTATTCTTGTATATAATCTAAGATAGATTTGATAAATTTTACCTAACTCAAGTAGGACATATATAAGAAAGTTTTGTAAGTTGGCTATTAATGAATGGTAGTTTTAATTTACCCATGAAACTTCAAGGGATTAATTTTTCTAGTGATGTCACAGTCTCTAAGCTGAATGTTTGAACAAATACAGATATTATTGTTGTTTTAAAAAGTTGGATCACAGAATTTAAACTATGCGTCACAGTGAACTGTTTTAATGTTATTGTAATATCAATGAATAAGTTTATATTAGTGAAAGATCGAGGAAATCAAGATGACTTCAATGAATAAAATACTGTATAGTCAATAAAATAAGAATTTAATGTAGTTTATTTGTCAATTTTATAGTCAAACCATAATGTATTAAATATCTAACCTCATTTCTTACCTAACTGATTATATAAATCATATCAAACTTGTGAAAATCTATCTCATGATTTAAAAGTATCTTCATAGTATGTTGAATAAATTTATATGAATATTCATCAATATTCGAGTGAATCTTTCACTGGTTGAAATCATGAGTCAATTGAAGTTAGACCACCATGGAAAACCTGGAATCACTGGGTTCGAATCTCGCGGTGGGCGAGATCGTGGATGCGCACTGCTAAGGAGTCCCATACTAGGACGAAACGGCCGTACACTGCCTTCAGGTTTTCCATGTTGGTCTAGCTTCAATTGACTCATGATTTCAACCAGTGAAATGTCTAAAAATCTCCACAAAACCCATTCTGATAATTAGAATGAATAGTTTGACGAAAGTTGGAGGCCAAGTATAAAGAAGTCATTATATGTCAAAATTATATTTGAGATAATCTCATCGATTGAAATTTGAAATCGTTTCGTTTTGTCCAGTATACTTTTCTGAACTTCTTCAAGGGTAACAATCCAGTCAAGTTTACTGGACAAAACGTTGGAATTATTTAAATTTCAATCGCTAAGATTATTTCAAATATAAGTTGAATACATTGATTTTGCACTCAGAGATTGTGAATCGTACCTTAGAAACCATATACGTTGATGTGAATACTAGTAACTATGGTGAAATACCATCTTTATTTTCTTTCAGAATTTTAGACTCAGTTCTATTCCACAAGTTTTACTTAATAATAAAGAACGGATAAACAATGGATTATAATATTTTGTCGATTTCTATAGTCTTTATTTAGATATTTAGTCACTCATTCATTATTATTAGAAAGTGGTTTTATGGATATTATAGTAATTTACTAGTTGAGTTCATGAGTCAATTGAAACTAGACCAACATGGAAAACCTGGAAGCAGTGAACGGCCGTTTCTTCCTAGTGTGTGACTCCTTAGCAGTGCGCATCCACGATCCCACCCCGTGAAATTCGAAACCAGGACCTATCGATCTCACACGCGAACGCTTAACTTCTAAACCACTGAGTTAGCGTCCATCATTCATTAGTTAGTCATGCACTGCTTGAAAAATATACATTCGTCAAATAAAAAATATTTTGTAGATGACCAAAAAAAGTTACAATCTAAAGGAAAGATAAAAAGTGGAATCATCTGCCCCTTGTCATCCAAAATCTCTAACATTTGGTCACATTTGTCCATCGAGTAATTAATTTGTATCTACCTACATTATTCAGTATGACAGTCGATAATTTTGAAAAGAGCAAGAACAAACATTCAAACAGTCGATAATTTCATGGACTAGTTTCAAATTTTAGCCCTCCTATCACGTACACACGAACAGATGCAGACGAAGACAGCCAGTGTAGCAGCAGTCTCTGCATCAGTAGGCCTCAGCATACACAAAGGGAAAACTAAGGTCCTCAAATTCAAAGCGGAGAACAGCAATCCAATCACACTTGATGGCGAAACTCTGGAAGATGTAGAGTCCTTCACATACCTGGGAAGCATCATCGATGAATAAGGAGGTTCAAATGCAGACGTAAAGGCGAGGATCGGCAAAGCAAGGGTCGCATTCCTACAATTGAAGAACATATGGGACTCAAAACAACTTTCAACCAATATCAAAGTGAGAGTCTTCAATACGAATGTCAAGGCTGAAACTTGGAGAACTACAACAACCATCATCAAGAAAGTACAAGTATTTATAAATAGCTGTCTACGCAAGATACTCAACATCCATTGGCCGGATACCATCAGCAATAGCCTTCTGTGGGAGAGAACAAACCAACTTCCAGCTGAAGAATAAATTAGGAAAAGACGATGGAAATGGATAGGACATACATTAAGCATATCGTCAAACTGCATCACGAGGCAAGCCCTAACTTGGAATCCTGAAGGGAAGCGAAAAAGAGGAAGGCCAAAGAACAAATTGCGTCGGATAATATAAGCAGATATGAAAATGATGAATTACAACTGGACGGAGCTAGAAAGGATTGCCCAGGACAGGGTTGGATGGAGAATGCTGGTGAGCGGCCTATGCTCCTTCACGAGGAGTAACAGGCGTAAGTAAGTAAGTTTCAAATTTTGTTTTGGTAACATGTTACACAATCCATGCATATCACAACCACTTCATTAGAACAAGATTCAATTAGTTTAATTTTGTTTTTCTAAAATAAAGACAATTTTCTTTGGTTTACTTTATTTTCAAATGATATTGTAGTATGTGCTACTGATGTCGACAGATATAAGTTGTATGTATCACCAATCAAAACTGGAATGCCTGGGTTGAAAAGGATAAAACAGAAGACAACGAGAACAGAGAATAATTGGTATAGAAATGAAGGAACAACAAAGTCTGAGATAATTAGTAGACATCTTGTATTTACTGTATAATTCTCAGATTTTACAAAGATGTTCTGTAGTTTTGTATTAAAATACATCCTCGTTGTCCTCACTAGTTTTCTTATTCATTATAATACAACTTTGTACCGACCACACACTTAAATATCAATATCCTATCTCTTCACATTTGTTCTTCAAAATTTCATTTATACATTATAAACACATAACAACACATTTATTTTCTAATATAATCTTCCATAGATTTCATGAATAATTAAATATACCTTAGCGATTTAATCATTTATTAAAGACAATATTCTTTATTCAGAATGAAATATACTAAAGTCTAAATCTAAACATACTCATATACTGTAAATCTCCCCCTCCCCTTCATTCAACTCATTCATTTGTCATGTTGGTCTTCAAGTATAGTTTACTTGTAAGCTTTCATCTTAGTTATAATTGAATGTGAAACAATGAAATAATAATAATAAGAAGAAACTATTCTCTTAATTAATTATTGGTAAGAATATTCTTTTTCTATGTCTAATTACAACTTATAATTTATAGAATAATCACTATACAACTTAAATCTCTTCACACCTACAAATATGTTTTATATGAAAGATAAACATCTGGAAGCACTGGACGGCCGTTTCGTCCCAGTATGGGACTCCTCAGCAGTGCACATCCACGACCCCACCTCGAGACATTCGAACCCAGGACTTATCAGTCTTGCGCCAGGCGCCTAACCAACTAGACCACTGAGTGGGTTGGCATTCAAAGATATTAATATCTAATTTCAATCAATCCATAATAAAATTAAAAAAGAATTGAAACATCATGTTAAAAATGGATTACATAACACTGATTAGATTAAGTATTCAAAGAAAAGAAAAAAGGCAAAACTAGACTGATCCTATAGGAGAATTGTAAGTAAAATGATTTACCTAGACATGATGATCAATAGGAAACTTGAAAAAGAACATTATCGATTATTTACATTTTGAAAAATAAAAATAAAAAAAGATTAAAAAGATCGTTAAAGCAAAGTTACTGAAAATTTTTAAATCGAAAAAGAAAATAATAAGTTGACTTAATCAGATAGCAACAAATAGTATAAGATCGTTGAAGAGAATATAAGATTAATCGGACAATTCTAAGTAAAAGGGAACTTTTTAGAACAATATTTAATAGTTATCATATCAAAAAAGTCAATTTTGAATATGTTAAGTAATGAAGTAAGTTAACAGTAACTAGGAGATCATGTTGTTTCATAAAAAAATATCGATACTTTATGTCTAAAACTGACAAATTATGGGATGAAGATTGAAGTTTTAATTCTTTAGATGTATGATTCTTATTTATCTTCAGTTCAACAAAGAGTTTTATAGACAATATAATAATTTTTTTTAATAAACGGAATACACCCATTATGACATTAAATAAGAAAGAAAGATTAGTTCAGCTTTGAAAATGAATTCGCCGAAAAGAGAACTCTTCGCTGAACTAATCTTTCTTTCTTATTTAATATAATAATTTTCAAGTCAAGATCATTAATAAAACCAATTCTAGTTTGTTTGTTTGTTTGTTTATAATAAAAAAATGAACCTTTAGACTGTCGTAAACTATCTAGAATTTTATGGCAACTATCAGAATCCCGTTTAATAAATCTGCCTATTAGGTATTCATTCATACATATCTTTAGATTATGATAGATACAAGAGATACATTCTTATCAAAATTCAATATTCAATAATAAACAAAAAAAACTGATAAATGATGTATTTATGCATAAAACTAGAATCAATTTATAAAGTATTAAATATATATATATACATATAACTTACCTTGCTGGTTTAGTTTGACCCATTTTACGAACTTTTATAGTACAATATGTAACACGGGGAAAATGTCCAGTTCGTTCCCATTCAACACCAGCTGATAAATCTTGTAATAATCTTAATCCAAATACGGTACTATTAAAACCGGTAAAACGTTTCATTAAATAAATTTGTCCAACTGAATTAGCTACAAATAATGCTCTTACAAATAAAAATAACATAGTTAAACGTGCATTTGGTGTAACACCACATAAACAACGAGTTAATATTGATTTAATTCGTCGAAATCTTGATTGAGATTCAGCTTGTTCTTCTAATGTAGCTACTAAACATGATACCGCTTTTAAACGTAATTCACGATCTGGTATAGCGGCTTCTCTTGCTGATTTTAATAATAATGGTAAACGTCTTGAACCAACACGCCATAATAAATGTGGAACCCATGACATCATAGCTTGACCAGCTAAAACTATTGCAACCCATTGATAATAACCAATAAATTTAACTTTTTCATAATCTACTTGATCTGTTGGTATTTCTTCATTAGGTAATAAAAAATATGTGTTTGATACCCAACATAAATTTTCAGCATATTCTTCCCATGACTTAGTAAATTCTTGTGGTACCCAACATTGAATTGGTTTACCTAGAAAAAAAAAACAATTTAAAGGAATTAGAAATGAATTGTAATTGTAATGTTATTTCAGTTAATAGTAATTTAAATCAGTACTTCCTAAATAGTGGAAATACACATTTCTTTCTATGATTATTATTATTGTTACCACTCACACCACTACATCTACCACCCCTTACTTGTAATATAAAAACGTTCATTAAGATAAGGAACTTGTTTGTAGAGATATATCAATGTGATCCTGGTCATCATTACAAAGAGATGTTAATTGTATAATTGGTCAGTTGTTTTGTTCCAGTTTAAAAGTTCTAATCTGGTATTCACTTATAACCATACACATTTAGTTAAACATAGTACCTTGAAATCTGTTAGTAAATATAATAATATAATAATTCAGTGGTTCCAAATCTTAGATTAGTACTAATATTATGCTGACAAATTATCAACTCTAAAATAGAATATTGAAATCTTAATGTAAATTTGTGGTTGGTAAATTTCAAAAATAACTCCGCCTGAAGTCCCTCCGGGGGCTACTGCCGGGCGCAAGCCCGGATAAAGGAGGAGAGTAGGGCATGGGGTTAGCGACCCCATCCCGTAGAAAACTAACTCGCTAAAAAAACGCCAACCAGTAAGTAAATTTAAAAAATATCTGAAATGAAATGGATAATATTAGATGAGAGTTATGTGATATCACAAACTGATTACAGTTAAAAATGAAAACCAACAGACAAGAACTGTTTTGTGTTAATTTCGAATTCAGATAATCTCAATTCCGATCTCATATGGGGTCGTGAGTATGCAATTCTGAGTAGTCCTAAACAAGGATTCCAGGCAAATTATTAGATGGAATATTGTAATTATTTAATTTTAAGTCTTCTAGTGATATTCATTATGGATCAATCTCTCTTGATTATCATCCCAAACCATGGACGATTGGACAGCTATTTTATACCAGTGCATGGTGATTTAGAAAAGCCTACCGGCGATATTAGAGCTTTTAAGTTTCATGGTGAATGCTTTACCATCAGACAATACAATGATGTATAATGATAAAAATTTTATTGATCAATTAATGATATAACACAATGGTAGCAACTACTTCATTATTAATTATGTTGAACTCCATTTATCATAATTTTTCAAAAGAACTTCAAAAACTTGTCTTGAAATAAGTTATGAGTGAACAACTTATATCACCTTATTAAAAATGCTTTAAATTAAACACAATTTAAAAAAAACGATAGATTGTGATCAGAGAGGGGTTTTGTGGATATTACAGTAATTCTACTAGCTGGTTTGAAGTTAGACATTAACACCATTAGATGCCAGCTCAGTGGTCTAGAGGTAAAGCGCCAACGCTTCGAATCTTGCGAGGTGGGATCGTGGATGCGCACTCCTGAAGAATCTCATACTAAGATGAAACAGCAATCCAGTACTTGCAGGTTTTCCATGATGGTCTAGCTTCAATCGACACATGAATTCCACTATTAATATAGATTATGAATCTGTTACTTAAAACAAATGATGTTTCAATAAAATTCCTCCCTCCCCCCCCGCAAAAATATATTACTTCATTAAAAGTTGATAACAATAAACATAAGTACATGCCCCAAAAGATGTACTTTCGTTTACAAGGGAAAACAAATTAAAATCATAAATATCTGTATATGAAAAAAGAACTACAGTTATTAATGAGGCATTCATTAGAACAAAATAAATAAAAAATTGAGATATTTTAAATCATTTTTTCTTCTCATTAAGATTTTAAATAGTATGTTGTATTGTAAATCTCAGTTAATATGTATATGTGTTTTATGCCTATTTGAGGTTTACTAAACATTTTTGTTTTAATTGTTTACTAGTGAGTAGTAAGAGTTTTTCAACATGTGTTATTACACATTCTTTTGTGCGTGTGCGTGTGCGTGTGCGAACCTATTTACAACCACGAATACTTGTACTCGTTTTCATTATCATTATCAACTGGGAATGATTTATTATTTTTCATCGTTATATAACAAATCGCTTGTATATATATATATTTCTCGCGAATTCTTTATTTTGTTTATTTTCTATAGTTTTGTGAGTCTTTGTTCTTCTTTTTTCCAGTTCTCTTCATTCCTCTCTTTCTAACTTTTGTCCTTTCTTTTCTTTTTCTTTTTTTTGTGTGTGTGTGTTTGTGTTTTTGGATGTTTCCATAGAACAATAACATATTTAAGACACATGAATTCCATTGAGGTTCAAATTGTCTTTATGTTTAGATAAATTTATTTGATTGTACTTTTAAGGTATAAAAGATAGAAACACATTTACTTTAATTAAATTTTGATTGATATCATGAATGGATTAATGTTTTAATTTATCATTTAAAAAAAAGGAGTTTCTTTGAAAACATAGTGAAACGTTAATGAATAACTTGAAGTGACTTGAAATTTTTACTTATGATTAAATAAAATTTAAGTGAATATTCAATTCATAAATAGATTAAGTGATTGATAGATATCAGTTTATTGACTCATGAATTCAATTATTTAATTAATACAATGTTCATGAAATCCTTCTCTGATCATCATCATCATCATCATCATATGCTCAATAGTAACTGTCTCCAAGGGTTATTTCCTGGAGTTCTAGTGAGAAGCAGTGACCAGTGGAGTTCAATCGGGTCTGTTGTGAGATAGTAGATCACTGATAACAATGGTGGATGGTGGTGCAATTTTGTGGATTGGTTGAAATTAGACATTAACACTGATGGATGACGGCTCAGTTGTCTAGAAGTTAAGCGTTCGCGAATGAGACTGATAGCTCTTGGGCTCGAATCTCGCTAGGCGGGATCGTGGATGCGAACTTCTGAGGAGTCCCATACTAGAATGAAATGGCCATCTAGTACTTACAGGTTTTCCATGGTGGTCTAGCTTCAATTGACTCATGAATTCAATTAATAAAATACCAGTTTATGTTTAATGAAATCGAAGATTCATTTCGATTGTAATCAGTTCATTGTTCTATTAAAAGTCATTAGTCGAACCAATCAGTTTATAATAGTGAATATTGTAAAATTAGAAGATATATATATATATATATATATATATATATATATATATATATATATATATATATATATATATATATATATATATATATATATATATATTAATGTATATGGTTGAATAAACTAAACATGTAATCTTTAAAGATTTTACAATAGCCTTCACAAATTAATCGGATTTTCAACAACTCAAAATGAACTTGATAATCATGAGTAATTTATTACAAGAAAGTACATGAAAGTTATGTCTGGGTTAAGACTATTATGAAAGTATTGCATTGACGATTAGAAGTAGTGAAAAGAAGTCGAGTTGATGAATAATTTAAAGTTCCATATGTTGAATACTTAACTCCGCCTGTATCTCTTTTAAAGTTACTGCCGGTCCCAAGCCCGGGTAAAGGAGGAGGGTTGGGGATAAGGTTATTGACCTCATCCCGTAGAAAATCAGCTCGTTAAAAAAACACTAACCAGAAAAAGTAATGTTGAATACTTACGTAGTTAGTTATGGTATTTTTAGAATCAAGAACTCTTAAGTTATATGGTGGCTGGAGTTAGTCGACAGGAAACCCTGGACCCGGGTTTCGTGCTATATAGCACTCGTCAGCAAGGTGTACCTGTAATCTTGAGGGAACTGGTGCTTCCTGTCGGATTCGACCTCGTGTCACCCAGCTTCACAGTCAGAGACGTTACCACTGAGCTATCCGAGCCGCGACCGACCTCCTGTAGGACTGAGGTGTAATCACAATTGATTGATCACTGGGTGGCGATCAATGTCATGGGTATCTAGTCCCTATTAGTGCAGATCCAATGCTATCGACCATGTTGCAATGTGGCCACCAGTCTAGGTGACTCGACATTGCGGGAACTGTATATTGAGATTAGATGGTGGTTGGAGGTATATACATAGTGCCCGCAATGTCGAGTCACCTAGACTGGTGGCCACATTGCAACATGATCGATAGCATTCGATCTGCACTAATAAGGACTAGACACGCATGACATTGATCGCCACCCAGTGATCAATCAATTGTGACTCTTAAGTTATCTTTAAACTTTATAAATCATAGTTTCTGTTGTTTAATCTTCTTACTTTCTACCAATTCTAACCAAGTTAGCAACTAAATGTTAGTATTATTCATTGAGCCTTTAATAAGATATACATTATCCATAATCTTGTTTTGAATTTGGTTGAAAAACTCAACAACCACTATCTTAAATTTAATTGATCCGTCAGTAGAGCACTCTTTCACCACATATCTTAAGCTATAAGAGGACCATTTTCTCATAATTAATTTTAAGTGACTTACGTCATTTATTTATCAAATAGAATTTTACATATTCGAATTCAAGCTGTATACTTTGTGCAAAGAATAGTGATTTCACTCTCTTACCTAACTGAATAACTTTTAGGTGACATTTAGACCAAGTGCCGAATAGATATAAGTTTAGGGATTCGATCATTATTCAACTGTCCTACATTTCAATCGATAGAATTGCATACTGGAGCATTATTGCTTTAAATTAACATACATCTGGTAATAATTATTTAAAAAACATATGAACTTTAAGTGAAGCCAAGTATCTTATTCTATTATAATGACATAAGTCGCTTTATTGGCCATCGATAAAAAGATTGGATAAGTTATTTTTTAAAATATCTTGTGAATAAAGTTTCAAGTGATTATTATTCTTCTTGTTGCCAAAAAACATGAAATAAATAGAATTGTGGTTATGAATGGATCAATGTTAGACCACCACTGAAAACCTGGAAGCACTGGACAGCCGTCTCGTCCTAGAGCGGAACTTCTCAGCAGTGAGCACCCACGGTCCGGCACGTAGAATTCAAACCCAGGATTTTCTGTCTCACGTGTCAATGCCTAACCTCTAGACCACTGGACCGGCATCCAACGGTGTTTATGTCTAACATCAACCAATCCACAAAATTGCGCGTCCATCTTCCATTGTC